GAATCCATTCAGCCGATCTCCGGGTCTGGCGGCAGCACTTTTAGCTGCAGCTTAGCATAGATCATTGAATCTGATTAGACTGTTAGCATCTCGCTCAAAAATGACCAAAGAGTTTCGATATTTTTCCTATTTAAAACTCAACCCTCTACGGACACCTTGGCAATTGAATCGCCATTGGCTAGTAAATTTTTTAGTTTACTTGCCAGACTGAGAGAGATATATATATATATATATATATATATACACACAGTATATGCAGGGCTGTAAAAAAACTGGTCTGTGCGATGAATAAATTTACCACTGTAGCACGGGTGCGATACAATTTTGCATCTTCATAACACAGCCGCTTAATAGTGTGAAGTGATTTCGTTGTGCTTGTTTGTGTGTGTGAGATTGATTATACTTGGTAGTTAGGGGTGTGCGATATGACGATTTTTGAATGCCGAGAACCGTGGATTTTCACTGGTATTGGCACCGAATACTGAAATTTTGGTACCGTGACAACACTAATATATATATATTAGTGATGCGCGGATGGAGGTTACATCCGCGGGCGCTGCGGATGATCCGCGGGTCGGGTGGGTCGGGTAATAAAAAAATACATTCTGATTAACTGCGGGTGGGTCGCAGGTGGATGAGATCAGTCATTAATGATGCAAATATTAACTACATTTCTCTAAAATACGAATGTGTTTTAAATGCATTTTTCATCAGGCAGACGCTAATTTGCACTCATTTAAAAAAAAAAAAATACGCGCGTGGCGGCAGGAGAGGGGGGGTCCATTTCTTAAAGCAGAAATGGAGGCGAAACAGATCAGAAAGAAAATTAAAAAGGGAGAATTAAAAACAAAACAAATGGAAGGAAAGAAAAGTGTCGTGTGGGAGCGTTTTAGCGAAGTGGTTAACGAGGATGAATCAAGTGCTGGGTATGTAATATGCAACGACTGTGAAGCACTGTATGTATATGAAAGCCACAAGACTGGTACCTCGAATATGGTACATCATGTGTGTGCTAAATCGAAAGGCCAGTCAAGTCAGACAAATACCTTAAGTTCTTAAGTTCGTCGGGACAGCAAAAAAATACCACTGGAAGTTAAGTCTAGTCTCGTGGATGCATGCGTGGACCTGTGCTGCCTAGATATACGCCCCTTCTATGTTGTCTCTGGCAAAGGATTCCTCCAAGTGGCCCAAACACTAATAAATATCGGTGCCAAGTACGGTGCAGTTGACGCTGATGCTATCATACCCCATCACCAAACTGGTGACAGGACAAAGCAAAAGGCTGCCGCTGGTAAAGAAAAACTTTCAGAGGCCATCCAAAAAGTTTTGGAATACAGTGGGATTGCTATTACCAGATATGTGGACAGACGAATTTAACAAGAGGGCATATGTTCTTACATGTCATTATATCGACGAGAAGTGGCATCTGGAAAGTCACATTCTGGCAACAGTGGAATTTGACAGTCATCTAAAAAAAACAGCGAAAATATCCATGATCAAATAACCACTGTGTTAATGAGTTATGGAATAACAGCAGACAAAATTGTTTTTGTCAGTGACCAGGGCCCGAACATTAAGGCTGCACTTCGGACCTACCACTGGGTTCCGTGCTCCGCACACACACTAAACACGGTGTTAAGACACACGTTCAGTGAGAGGAATGCACCAGAAGGCATCAAAGACATGCTGGAAATGATAGATAGGCCTAAGTGCAAAAGCCTGGTGACATTTCTGAAGAGAACAGGTGCTGTTGCAAGTTTAGCGCACACTGTCATTCAAGAATGTGAAGTTCGATGGAACAGTAAAGTCGACATGATGGAATCTATACTAAAACAGTATAGTGACATCAGACAGCTCCTGGAAGACAAAGGCCAGCTGCATCGGATGGAGGGCATCTTTCAAGACCAGCTCATGCACTTGATTGAATTCCTCACTCTCTTCAAATTAGCCATTAACGAGCTTGAAGGAGAAAAATACCCAACAATTCACATGGTGTTACTCTGGTTTTTCAAACTTAAGAGACACTGTGAGCCCAAGTTTGGAGATCCATCATACATAGTCCTTCTCCGTGCTCGCGCATCCAGCCTGCTTGATGAGAAGATGCTCCTAACTTTCACACACAAGGTCGGCACTTTTCTCTGTCCCAGATTTAAATCACTGAAAATGTTGACTCCAGACGACAGACAGGAGGTGAAGAGACAAGTACGGGAGCTTATAAGTGAAGAACCCAGTGTCAGCCAAAACGTAGAAGGCACCTTTCTCTCCTCACCAGTGGCAGAACAAGGTAGTCAAAATTGTATTAAAACTTGTAAATAATAAATTAATTATTACATTTTAAAATTATTTTACAATAAATAAATCATAAAATCCATTTATTGTTTTATACTGTCCCGCATTACCTAAGCACGTAGACCACTAAAACTGTTGGTCGGTGTGCACTAACGAGTTTAAATCCCCGTTGCAGCGGAACATGGCAGCAGACGAGCGAAAAAGCAGAAGGTGGACTTCGCAGAATGGGAAGAAGAGACACCCAGAATGATGGATGAAGTGGAAGAGTACTGTTCTTCAAACTTTCAGTTAGATGAGTCCTCAGAGGAAAATTTGCTTTTGTTCTGGGAGAAACAAGATCGCTTATTCCCACGACTGCGGCGCCTTGCTAGGAGAATCTTGTGCATTCCTGCAACAAG